TGTGTGTGTGTGTTTGTGTGTGTGTGTTTATGTTTGTGTGTGTTTGTGTGTGTGTGTATGTCTGTGTGTGTGTGTGTCCCCACCATGCACCCGGCCTGATTCATTGATTACATGGAAAAGAAAGAAAAAAAAGGAAGGAACTCCGCAAGCTGGTCTGGGGACAGGAACAGGCCCCATTAAGCAGGGTCGTGCTGTGGGCAGGGCTGACGGTGGTGGGGGGTGGGGGGAGGCCAGCTTAAGGGAGACAGGAAGGCCAGGATGTCATTGCCAGCCTCACCACGCTCTCCCTTCTCCTGCCACAGGCTCCCTCAACCTTCTGGTGCGGTCCAGGAACAAAGGCACGCTAGATACACATGCCTGGTCCCTCAGCGGCAATAAGGGCAACGTGTGGCAGCAGGCCCATGTGCCCATCAACCCCAGTGGGCCCTTCCAGGTCAGTTACTTGGTGAAGGCTGTTCCTAAGGCAGGTGGCTGCCCTGGCTGGAAGCTCTTAGGGAGGTCCTGTGCAGGTTCCTGGGGGTGGGGGGGCGTTAAGGCAGGGGGTGGGGGGCTTCCAGGTAGCCTGAGGGGAAGGGGTGGGGAGGCTCTGGTGCCAGGCCCAACTTCCCCAACCCTTCCCCCTGCTCTCTGACCCCACCCCAGATTATTTTTGAGGGGGTTCGAGGCTCGGGCTACCTGGGGGATATTGCCATAGATGATGTCACACTGAAGAAGGGAGAATGTCCCCGGAGGCAGATGGATCCCAACAAAGGTATGTGACTTGAAGTGGGTTGGGGGATGGTGGGCGGGTGGCTGCTAGGGAGCGGTTTAGGATGCCTGGGTGACGAGAACTGCTCATAAGTGCCCACTTGGGTACTACCCTGAGTCAGGCTGTGGGGAAAATGGAGGACTGACTTGTCCATAGTATGTGCTGTGGCTCCAGTTGTCTGAGCAACGACTGTGTGCCAGGCACAGGGGCAGAAATCTGCAGAGCAGGCTTCTCTTAATGCTCCTGCAGCTCCCCGGGATATCAAATACGATTAGACCCATTTTGTAGGTGAAGAAACTGAGGCCAAGTCCTTTGCTCTGTCTTAGTGAGCATGAACAGCAGCACACTCAGTTAACCCTCATGAGTGTGTCTGTGTGAGCTAATTGTGTGAACTCCTGCCTTCAGGCCTCCTTCATCCCCTGAAGGGAAGCCGCGAAGTCGCGGGGCCTCTCACAGCCTCTCTCTCTGTCCCCTCCCTGCCCCTGCTGGAGCTAACCAGAGCCCTGGCCTGTTTCCTCTCTGTCTTGTGTCGCAGTGGTGGTGATGCCAGGCAGCGGAGCCCCCAGCCTGTCCGGCCTGCAGCTTTGGGGATCCACGGCCATCTTCCTCTTGGCATTGCAGAGATGATGAGAGCTGTGTGGGCCCCCCACCCCACCCCGCCCCCGGCACACCAAAGTGTCCACATCGTACCAAAGACTGACCCCTGCCAGCCGGGGTGCCCAGGGGCGGGGCCGGCCCGCCAGGGAGGGGGGCCTTCATTGGCTGCAAGGATGAGCGGAGAACACGGACAGAGGCCCGGCCAGGCTCTGATGGTTGTTCAACACACGCACACACTCACACACACACACTCACACACACACACTCACACACACACACAGATCTATTAAAGCACAAGTTTCTATCCGACCTGCCAGCACCTTCTTTACTCTGGAGACAAGGGACTTAGCTGGACGGCGTCCGACACCTCCGAGGACCTCGGTGCGACGCCGGCCTCATCTTGGCTGCACTTGACCTTGCCCTGTCCCCTGACTGACTCAAGGCCGAACTCCAGCCCAGACAGAGGCTTGCCAGAAGGAGCCGGATGTGGGCACACACATCAGACTTGCGCTGCTCGGATGGAGGTCACAGGGGTCAGAGGCAGGCCAGGTGGGACCTCTCTGACTGAGAAGGAAGGGGCACCTGCTGCAGGCAGGCAACTGTCCCCAGAGTGTGGAGACAGGCTGGATGGTTGAGGTACCAGTCAACTCAGACCCACCTGTCCCTCAGATGTCATACTCCCCCCCTCCCACTGCACCCACTTGGAAGGGACCCAGCCCAGGGCTTAAGGTATGTGCAGTGTGTCCCAGCTTGGGGCTTCTGGAGAAACTGGTGGTGTGAGGAGTGTCCATGCCATGCTCCCGGGTGGGGCTTGGCTTTGAGAGAGCACAGAGTCTTCCCCTTCCTGCCTCTGTGATTCCATGTTCCCACAGAGAACCGTGAGCTCATGAGTGGAGTGGACCCCCTGTTTCTTAGGTAGTTAGTCTGACAGGGAGTTCTGGAGGGAGGGGGCCATGGAGGATAGGACACTGTCTAGCCAGCTCTGGAGCTCTGGGGTGATGGATGGAGATGGCTGCATCTCCTTGTTCCCTGGGAGCTGGGAAGAGCTTTGTCCTTGGAGCTTGAAATTGATGGGATAGGATCTAGAACTTCCCTCTCTGTTCCTCTTGACCCCCTGCCCAGCTTCCACGGGAGAGCAGAATCCTAGCCCCTTCTTGAGTGAGTCTTTACACGTGCATGTGGGTGTGTCTGTGTATCTGTGTGCAAGAGTGTCTGTGTGTCTCTGAGTATGTAAGAGTGTGTGTGCCCATCTGTGTCTGTGTGTCTCTGAGTGTGTAAGCGTGTGTGTGCCCATCTGTGTCCGTGCACCACTGTGCACATCCCTGGACGGGAGTGTGCAGGAATATGAGGTTGAGCATAGTAAGCCCAGTCCCCGTGGGTGACTGTCAGTGTGCATTTTCACCTTAGTGACATGGTATGTTTGTGGGGTGCTGGCCTTAGTTACAGTCTCAGACTGCCTGCCGCAGCCTAAATCTTTCCTCTCCTGTGGATGACAAAGAACTTGGAGATGACCCTATTGAAGGCTAGCCGCTTGGCTGAAGGTGCCGTACAGGGCTCTTCCTTGTGCATTTGGGGGGGGGGGGACAGCCTCAGAGAAGAGGCTTGGGACCCCAGCAGCACCATAGCACCAGGAGGCACATTGAGGATCAGGATCCTTGCTGCCCAGCCCCCAACTCCACCTGGCCTATGTCATCATCGTCTTCATCATCATCATCATCATCATCATCATCATCATCATCATCATCGGCTGCTGGGTAGTCAGGCCAGGCTACAGCGGGACCTTCTGGTACCCAACCAGCATGGCTGCCTTCCTGGCCCTTTGGAGGCCTCTGTCTGAAGAGAGTTTCTCTGGTCTCCAGGACACGCTCCCATGGCATCTGCCGGTATTGCTCCCTGACTGTCCCATCTGTGAGGAGTCTGTTGCCCCAGCTAGACTGCAAGCCCCTCCCCCTCTGAGCCCCTCCTCCATTCTTGCTGGTGTAAGGGAGACCCAGGTGGAAACCAGGTGGAATGGATTCCATAAGCCAACGGTCCCTGGCCCTGACTATAGAACCGACCCTCCGGGGTCTTTTTAAAAGTGCGAATGCTTGGGCCTCAGCCCGGGGTGAGGGTGAGATTTAATGGTGTGGGAATACAGCCTGGCATTAGAAACAGTGAGAAGTCCCTTAGGACACCCCAAGAGGGGAAGCTCACATCCTCTCAACTCCAGGGCCATGCTGGAGAACCAGCTCCACTTCTTCCTCCTTAGGGTTCCCACCCCACCCCAAGCCTGCTCCCCCACATCCGCCCATTGTCCTGACTGCTCTGTTATGGTAACTTGATATCTCAGAGCCAGACACAGGAAAGGTACACAGTATGCATTGGTCCCATCCGTATTCCAGAATCTTCCCTGTGGTGAGAGCAGCCATGCCTGAGGAGGTGTGGCCTGAGATTACAAAGCCTGTCTGCTGAGAAGCCTACCCTTGTGTGCAAGTGGGTAAGGCTGGGGTGGGCATGTCTGTGTGAGGCCGTGGTGTGCGGGAGCTGTGATGTCAATATGCGTGTGTACTGGAAGCACTTAGATGCGTGTAGGGCTGAGAACCTAAGGATAGCTGTAGGGTAGGAACTCTGTGCACATGGATGCCCGTGAATCAGCATTCCTGTATGTATCCTTGTGGGTCAGTGTTGGGACAGGTGACTGCGAACACCCCAGTCCCGGGAGACCAGGCTGATGGGATCTAGCGTATCTCTTCAGTGGCAGCCTCACCCTCTGTGTTGAGGGAACCGAGGAAAATTGTGGCCTTAAAACGGGGATCCCAGAGCCAGCTCTCAGGGTTCTGGGGCCCTTTTACCCCTGGCCCCTGAAGATTAGTGTCTGGCAGGGGAGGGGGGGGCGGAGAAAGGGATTCTTGGGATCAGGTACTGAATAGCAACCATAGTCTCAGCTTGACTGTGCTGAGACCACAGGGAAGCTACCGGGGTTGCATCATTCATCCGAAAACCAAGCCTGCTCCTCCCGGCACATTCCTCCCATCATCCCCCTTTCCCAGTCACTGTCTTTCTCCTGTTCTGTGGAAGTACCTGTTCAGGCTAGCAGAGCCAGGATGAGTCTTAGACATGCCGGCCTCTCATGGCACAGAGTCAGAAGCTGGAACGGAGAGGGCCGGGGCCGGCTCAAGCCTTGGAAGTCTGGCTACAGCCCTGGGGGCATCGTGCCATGGCCACTGCTCCTGGGAACCGCTTACCTGACTGAGTAGCCACGGGCAGCTGAGCGGAACTGACCCTTCTCGGGGCGCCATCGACGCTGCTGGGCCTGTCACACACGGGACAGGTGGGTGTCACGAGGATCTTTTTGAGAAAGGAACCGTCTCCCTGGCCTATTCTGGCCTCTTCTCGCAGGCCACAGTCACTCCAAGCCCGTGGACAGCACGGTGCCTGCCATTCTCTGTCAACACTGGCTGCAGCCGCTGCTCCCTCCTCCAGGCTCCAGACAGAGAGGACTTTGTTTCCCCACTGGCCGCTGCTGTCTGCCCAGGAGGCTGGGCTGGGAACCAAGGCTAGCAGATGCTGGTGTCCCCATCCTCCTGACATCCTCCCCAGGACCAGGAAGGCTGCAGAGGACATAAAGTGTCCTTGGATTTTCCTCTGCATGGACAGCTCCATGGGGCTGAGGTGGGGAGGGAATGTCCTAGGAGTGTGGTGAGTGAACCTGTACTTGAGAGTTCCTACAGGCCATTGGCTGAGCTCAGATTCTGGCTGCCTTCTGTTCTGTGAGTGCTGTGTGTGTGCATGTGTGCGTGTGTGTGTGTACGTGTGTGTGTGTGTGTGTGTGTGTGTGTGTGTGTGTGTGTGTGTGTGGTGTGTATGGGCAGAAGGACCACTCTTTCCTGGAGACCTCTTGACCCTTAGCACTGGAAGGGACCTTAGAGGCATCTAACCCGGTGTGCCCATTGTACAGGTGAGAAAGCTGAGGTTCAGAGAGAAGGCACCTGCCTATCCCCATCCCTCTCCCTTCCATGTGTGGCCAGCCTTCGTTGCCCAGGGGCCCTGTAAGAAATGCTCTCCCTCCTAGCACCTTCTTGCTCTCCATCCAGACACCCCATTTCCCCCCATCTCAGCCCAGTTGGGCCGGAGGGGGACTGCCCCAGGGCACCCCCCAGGCACCACCACCCCCTGCCCCAGGGCAGCCTGCTCACCAAGTCCTTATCCCCAGCCTATAAGGGACAGGAAAGAGGGGACTGTTCCAGCCCTGGGGCCTCATAGATGGGAGGAAAGCCAACCCCTCCCCATATGCCCAGGCCCATGTGTCTGCCCCACCCACCCTGCTACTGAGGTAAAAGCACAACAGGAGACCCCCCACTCACGGGTGACATGCCTTGGGGTCGTCTTGGGTCTCACGACCTTGCCTCACCCCTTCGCCTTGCTCTCTGTCTCCACCCAGCCTCTGTTCCCCCATTGCCCACCTTTCTCTCTCTCCCACGAACCCCAAAATGTAACCTCTAGTTGCGGCCATGGTTGTTTCAATCAATAAAGACGCAGTGTTCTAGAACTCAGGGCCAGCCTGCGTGTGTTGGGCTTCAGGGAGGGGGGGCAAGGTGACGGGCTGGGCAGGGGCAGCCTTGCTTCTCTTTGCCACCCATCACTGTGACCTGAACAGAGGGTCCCTGTGTCCTGTGCGCCCACGGCGAGCCCTTGTTCCTGTTCCCTTGTCACACAGACACAAGCACCGCGGTGATGGCGTGGAGTCTCCCGTCTGGTGGGAGAGGTAGACGTGGAGCGAAGACTGACGCCAGGAAGTAGATCGTGGAAGCAGGGGGCTGGCAAAGAGAATGGGGGTCTGGGCCTTCGGACATTTGGTTAAGCGTGGAGCAGGCTTGCAATCCCAGAATGTGGGAAGCTGAAGCAGGGGGATCTTGAGTTCGAGGCCAGTCTGGCCTACATCAGAATGAGTTCATGGCCAACCTGAGCAGTTTAGTGAGACCCTGTCTTAAGATAAAATTTAAAAAAAAATAGCATGTGTTGGGGGGCTGCTGAGAGAAGGTTTAGGTGCAAGACCTTGCCCTGCTCTTGCCGAGGATCCAGGTTCAATTCCCAAGCATGGGATGGCTGATAACCACCGGGAACTCTAGCTCCAAGGAATCTGGTGCCCTCTTCTGGATTCCGCAGGCACCTGCACTCACATGTGTACATACTCACACATAGACACACATGCGCATCATTAAAAATAATTTTTTAACACTTGGATATAGCGCTGTAATATTTGGGGGCACTTACCCCAAATCATTACACGCCTGTCTTTCCTATTGTTCAGGTGCCTCAGATTGCTAGGACTTCAGAGCCGTGAGGTCTGTCACAGTCACTTACTTCTGCTTCTTCCTCAGCTCTCCTCAGGAGAAGTGGGCTTGCTGAGGTCACGGGGCAGCCAGTGGTGAGGGAAACCCATTCTGCTGGGCATGCTCGAGGATCAACGGCCACATCTGGATGGGTGTCACAATGGGGACTGTAGTGAGACGGAGCAAGCGGCAGGAAGATTCTGTTTGTTACTTGGTTGTAATGACTGAGGTGGTTAGAGTCACCAGGCCCATGTTTCACATGGGGAAACTGAGGCTTCACAAGGCAACAGGCTGAGGACTCTCTGCCTAGACACCTTCTTATGGACACACCTGGCTAGAGACTAATAGCTTGGGTAGTCTGGCTCACAAGGAACTAGAAGATTTAAACTCTCTAGACACACACACACACACACACACACACACACACACACACACACACCAAGAGGGACAGACTCCAAAATAGCAACATGAGTTGAGTTGTGACAGAGATGGTGTCCTGTGCTACATGGGCTTCTGGGTTCAAGGTAGAACTAAGAGCTGAGTCCATCAGCTATAGAAACTTCTAGCTCCTGCTGTGAGGTAAAGATGGCCGGAAATTCCTCCTTACATTTCCAGTGGAGAGGCGGACCTGACTCCCTTCTCCTCCAGTCTGCACTTGTCTTAGCGATCTTTTTGTTCACCTGAATGCGACTTTCCAAGCTGTCCTGTCCCAGGGCCACCATGCACCCGACTCTACTGAGACTACCAGGAGGCAGGGAGTCCCGTTCCCCCACCCCACCCCCAACCATCCCAGCTGGACCTGGCCTGATAACCATTTCCGCCAAAGCACCAGAAGATTCGGGCATGGAGCCATTTGGACTCCAGACCGGCCATTACTCCGGCGGGTGCAGCACAGAACACATCTGCCTGAATTTCTGACCAGCTCATCATGGAACATGAGGCAGGGGCTAGTTCACTTGTTACCAGTGCAAGAGTTAACCTGGCCAGAATGTTTCGTCACCTGCATCCCACCACACCCCCAACGGAGCGTATCCCTCCCACCCCCACAGTTCCTCTCCTGACTCATGCCAGCTCCCTCAGAACGTTAGCCAAGCGGGTACCAGGACCTCAGCTCCATTTCTCCCACAGGAGTTTCCTGTGGCAACTGCCAGCATCCACTGACTCAGCCTCTCAAGAGAAGTGGCTGCTGGCCTGACTGTACATCCAGACACACACACACACACACACACACACACACACACACACACACAGTTGAGCAGCCTGTTGACTAGCTGCCCGCTGCCACCTCGGAGCTCATCAATTGGGCTGAAGGAAGGGGTCACAGGTGTACAACATGGCTAACATGTGGGCTACCATTTTTAGAGAGCTTGTGGGTAGACCCACGTCAAGAGGCAGGGGGCAGGTGGCTCCCATGAGTCTTTTCTTTTCCACCCTTCCTAAAGTGGCCATCCATTCCAGGGTCACTGTTGTGTGGTGTGTGCACCATGAAAGTCCTCCGGTTGACCTTGGCCAAGGGCCCTAGGTCTCGATACCAGGATCCAGGTAGGTGAGGTCACATGCAGAAGCATAGTCTTCTGTTTGCTCTTGTTAACTGATGAGTGAGAGACTCTGGGGAGGGGCCACATACATGTCTACTGACCTCCGAAAGGGAGCCCTCGACAAAGAAGCCATTGGACTAAGACCCAATTTGGAGAGGCAATGAGGTTTTTGTTTGTTTTGGGGGGCTACTAACAGGAGTGTGGGCGAGAGGTTACTTGGAGGAGCAGGCATGACTCAGAAGCAGCTGCATCACCAAAAAGCTCTCCCCCAAACTGCTGATGACTCCAGAAAGTTGCAACCTGGGAGTTTTCAGCACAGTATACAGGCAGTTCCACCATCCAAGAAAATCTCCCCTCTGCAGCATCTGGCTTGAGTCTTCCCCCGAGACTGTGTGCTGTTTCTCTAAAGCTGGCGAGAGCCGTTGAGAATTTTACAAGTTTTGGTTTTCCCAGACATGCTCCCTCCCTTTCCTCCTGAACCTCGTGGGCCTCCCCAGCCCTCCTGGAGGGGATGCTCTAGTTCTGAGGAGCAGGCCACACAGCTGACTGTTTTAATTCTGTACTGCAGATAAGGACAACCAGGTTCAGAAAGGTGAGGTGGTCACCAAAGATCATAAAAATCAGGAGGAGAGACATCCAGAAGTTGGGCTTTCAGTATGGAGTTCCTCCTGTGCCTGATGGCCTGCTCTGTGTTCCCTCCTGGGGACTGCCATATCTTGCTAACCAGCTCATCCCCAGGCGCCGGGGAAGCCAGTCCTTCCCGTGGGGCTTGGGCTCCAGCCTCTGCCGTTGATGGAACTGTCCCGCTCCTGCTTTTCTTTTTCTAGCATCCTGACCTTTTTGCATACGTCCTTTGTTGAAAGCTCCACTCACACCTTTTTTAGAAAGAGGCTGAGTAAAAATAAATCCAAGGAAAAAAGCCGACACACTTCTCCTTGAAGTCACCCCAAACCCAGGCAGAGGCCTCCCTCCAGCCAGCTTCTCACACCTCCAGCTTCCAGATTCATCTTTCCCGGGCACGCAGCCTGTCAGCACCCAGTGTGGCTTCCTGCCCTGAGGTCAACTTGGCAGCTCCCTCACATGCAAGGCCCCTTATCCATCATCATCCGGACTCTCCAGCTGTTCAGATCTTCTCTAAAGATGGCGGGGTGGGGAGTGGGGTCTTCCTGCTCCTCTCAGGTACCCTGTGGCCAGACGGAGCTCAGGTGCATGGATTCTGCACTTAGGGGCCTCCCCCAGTTGTGCCAGCTGCACTGAGCAGGGCTCTGCCCTCAGATCTTATCCCCCACGGCCATCCAGCTACACTCACTCTAACCTGAGAGATGGGGAGAAAAGAGTTGAACGTGAATGGGGGGGGGCAGGGTGCTGAGAGCGCAGCGTTGGTACAGTGGGTGTTCTCTGGTCAGAAGCATCTGCAAAATATGAATGAGAGAGACTGGCCAATTGGAAAACAGCATGCTGATTACCACTTCATTCCTGTATGTAAATGTGTTCATGTGTATGCAGGTGCACATGTGTGCGTTTCTACACGGGTGGGTGGGTGTGCGAGGCCAGAGGACGGCCTCAGGTGTCATTCCTCATGTGTTAGTTTTGAAGATAGGAGCCTGCCCAGAAGGCTAGGCGGGATGGCCAGAGAGCTTAAGGAGTCCTCCTGTCTCTGCCTCCCCCGTGAGAGGGTCACAAACTCATGTCAGCACATGAGGCTGGTTCTCGCCTGTGTCCTGGGGAGCGAACTCATGTCCTCGGGGTTGCAGAACAGGCGCTTAACTCGGCCATCTCCCCAGCTACCATCTCATTTTTATACAAAACTATCTGTGGTGCTGCGGGGTGTGTGTGTGTGTGTGTGTGTGTGTGTGTGTGTGTGTGTGCGTGTGTCCCCCAAGTCCTAAGACTCTTCCCTGGCATGTGAACACTGGTTCTCACAATGGTGAAAATTCAGAGACCCTGAGTCAGCCCTAGGCCTTCTGCATTGTCTGAACACTTCTAAATAAACATGTATGATTTTTAATAACCAAGAAGAAAGTCTTATTTCCCTGAGAAAACAAAAGGCAGAAGTCATCAAGGACTATAGATTAAAAAGTAAAGGTCACCTTCTGTTCTTCATATTATTTCCATAGCTTAGACATCTCAGAGTTTGGGAAGAGGCTTTGAAATGAGATCTTTTCTTCCTAATTTATTCAAAGAAAAAATACTCATCCAATTGGGAGGGAAGACGGGAAGAAGGGGTATGAGCCAGGTGTTTAATTAATTAATTAACTAATTAATTGTCTGTGTGTATATATAGGGGCACAACATGCATGTGGAGATCAGAGGACACCTCTTGGGAGTCAGTCTCTCCTTCCATCATGTGGGATCTGGGGATTGAACTCAGGTCGTCACACTTGGTGGCAAGAACCTTTACGCTCTGAGCCATCTCATAAACCCCCTTGAGCCAAGTAAGAGAGAAGTCTCAGAATCCACAAATTCCAGGAGAAATACTAACATGCAATGTTATGTCCAAAGTGGCATGCATGTGTGTGTGAGAGACAGGGGGAATGCAAAGGTGTACATGTGCATGTATGCACGAACATGGGTGAGTGTAGTACATGTGCATGTATGCATGAACACGGGAGAGTATAGTACATGTGCAAGTATGCACGAACATGGGTGAGTGTAGTACATGTGCATGTATGCATGAACATGGGTGAGTGTAGTACATGTGCATGTATGCATGAACACGGGAGAGTGAATTGCATGCCCACCTATGTATGCCTGCAGCTACATTTCCCCTACAATCAGCTGTAAAGCACGTGAGTAATTAAATACCCTAGGGTGATGGTTGCTACCATCAGAGGAGAAGCAGCCCGGGAAGGGGAGGTGTGGGGATCGCAGCTCCTACACTTTCCTCACTCTTCGTCTTCCTCATCAGCCTCTAAGCATCCTTACCCAGAGTTGAGGCTCCAGTAGGGAGACTGAGGTCTGATGCCGGGGAGGAAGACGATGATGTGATCAGCCAGGACTCCTGTACCCTCTCACTTCCTCTAACCCTCCTTGTGCTCTCTCTCTTTTGGCTGACGGGTACCAAAGCCCTTAGCTCCAAGAAAGGAGTGAGAGGTAAGGATCAGTCAGCTGTTACTCTGGCCCATGAGCCCATAAACTGGACCGCCTGGAAACAGAAGAATCGCCCACCATTCTGCTTTCCTGGGAGGTGGATTAGGCCCCCTCTCCAGACAGGACTCTCAGAGTGAGAAGAGTGGTTTACAGGGAGGCCACACAGCTGTAGAGGCTGCTGCTGGGATCCTGGGTCAGACTTCTTACCCCACCACCTGTCCATCATTCCTTGGATAACTTTATGCCCAAGTAAACAGGCTTTGAATGTAATAGCCGTCCATGTCAGTGGCTCCCTGAAGGGAGAGAAATGAAATCTCATGCTTGCTGATGGGGTAGGGGTGGGGGGGCATCCTGAGGGAGTTTGGGGATCTGAGGAAGGATGGAGAGCTCTTTGGAAACTTGTGTCCAGTCCAGGGAGAAGGAGAAGGTGGGGACAGCAGGTCCGGTGTAGCTATCTCTCTGCCAGATGAAAGGCTAAGAGGGAGGGCGCATGAAACTCACAAGAAAGTTGTAAGAACTCAGAAAAAAACCTTTAATCCCAGCACTCAGGAGGCAGGTGGATCTCAGTGAGTTCGAGGCCAGCCTGGTCTACAAAGCTACAAAGTGAGTTTTAGGACAGCCAGGACTGTTATATAGAGAAATCTTGTCTTGAAAAACCAAAAAAAAAAAAAAAAAAAAAAAAGAACTCAGAAAAAGTGACAATGCTCATGAGGCCCCTATCTGCAGTTACATAAACATGAACTGGGGAGAGGAGACTCTTCAGTGGAACTGCCTACAAGTTGGACAGGGAACTCCTGTGAGCCGTCACCCATGCTGGGGTGAGCACCTTTGAGTCACCCATGCTCCAGTTCACCACATAAGACTTGGTGGCATCATTTCTTTGATCTGTTGGCTGTGCCCTACCTGGAATGAACAGATATTTGTCTCCATCTCCCCAGGGACAGTCAGTCATACAACAACAGGCCTTAGGAGGAGATGGGGAAAATTTCCAGAACATTCCAGGCTTCCACACACATTTATTTTGTCTTATCCTGGTAGGAGGATCTTCTTTTCCATCAACCTCATATCACTGTGTAGCTTGGACAGATGTTATATCAGGTCAAGCTCCCGCCATAGCTTGGGAAGAAAGGCTGTTAGCCTCTCAACTTTCCCATCCTGTACATGGCAGTCTCCATGCCTGCCACCGACAGTGCTCTTGTGGCCCACCGCTGGCCTCTGCCTCGAGAGGGTCAGAGAGGGTATCTGGATTTCCTGGAGGAAGACTAGAGAGAGGAAGCCTAGACAAAGACTGGATGCTGAAGGAGTGATATGCACTAAGTTACTTGTCTGGTGTGAAGATGACTGACTGGTCCCTCAAGGCCCAGTTTCCTGTGAATTAGGAAAGAGTCTATAAGCTTAAGGATTCTTCCTGTTCAAGTGATCAATGAAAGGAGAGAGTGGGGTGTTCCTAAGGAGTGCTAAGAAAGAGAAGGGACGCTTTAGTTGGTTTTTATTTTTATTTCTTGAACTCTTTGGGGCCCTCCATCCAGCTCCCAAATAAATACATAGAGACTTATTCTTACTTATAAATGCCCGGCCTTAGCTTGGCTTGTTTCTAACCATCTTTTCTAACTTAAGTTATCCCATTTCTCTTTAACTATGTTTTGCCTCTAGGCTTTTTACCTTTATTTTTATATCTTTCTTTCCTCTTTACTCTGTGGCTGGCTGTGTGGCTGAGTGGCTGGCCCCTGGCTTCCTCCTCTCCTTCTCCTTTTCTTGTTCCTCCCTCTTCTCTCTCAAGCCTGGGATTTCTCCTCCTATTTATTCTTTCTGCCTGGCAGCCCTGCCTAGCTTTCTGCTGCCTCATTATTGGCCGTTCAGCTCTTTATTAAACCATCAGGTGTTTTAGACAGGCACAGTAACAGAGCTCCACAGAGTTAAACAAATGCAACATCGAAGAAGAATGCAACACATCTTTGCATTGTTAAACAAATGTTTCACAGCTTAAACAAATGTAACACATCTTAAACTAATATTCCACAACAGGACACCTACTAAAGGTCCAGGAGAACCCCAACATTCATCTCTGTTTCTATTGATATAGCTGAGCCTGTTGTCTCCACCCCCATGCTGGGGAGCCCCACTACCCAGGCCTAGGTGGGATACAGTTGACCTCCTTCTTCCCACAATCATCCCTTGAAGTGGACCCCATCCTCACTGGGAGGAGGGCAGGTGACTGGACCCAGGGCTTCAGCTGATTTGGCCCAGTGGGAAGTGGGGAATGGAAGGGGGGAGTGAAGAGGAGGGATGTGGGCCAGAGCAACCAACACAGTGAAGCACTGCACTAATCAGGCTTGAGCTCTGGGCTCTGGGCCCAGGGCGGGTATCTGACTAACGTCAGCAGCATCAGGCTAGAGAGGAGCAGCAGCCAGAGATCCGGCTAAGGCCTGAGGCAGCGGACCTTGGTGGAGAGGGATTGCAAGGGTTCCGGCTAAGGCAGATCTGCCTTCATGATGTCTCAGGGGCAGCAGGCCCTCTGTCCTGAGTGTGTGAGAGGCCTGGATCCGGAAGGGCATTGACCTTGCCCTGGACTCGTTCCTGGAGAAGAAAACAGGATGGGGCTGGATAGGGTCCATCCTGGGACCCAATGATGCATGCCAGGCTCACTGCTGTGCCGGGTGACCTCCCAGCCACACTCCCTCCAACCTCCTGCATCCCGAAGATGCTGCAGTCTAGGGCCTGGACTCTGGGAGAATGGTTAGGAGCCTTGTCCTGCCCCCAGCATGTGCCAGCAGACGCTGAGGAACTCCGGATTGCAGTTTCTGACTCACTCTGTGGAGACCATGATTCTTCCTCGAGATCAATCTCCAATCCAATTTTGGAAACACAGCGGGACGAATAGTAAGGATCAAAAGACACTTGCTGATGGGTAAGTGATTCGGGGGAGTAGCTATGTCCTCAAAATACTCGGGACTCATTATAACTGAGGGAAGGCTCCAAATACAGTATGGGAGATTACAGAGGTGTGTCTTCCTCCCACAGGCCAAGGTGTGCTGAGATCAGACTGTCTCCCTCAGACTGCAGCTCCCTGAGGACTGGCCATGTCCCCCTGGAGCCCTCTGAGGACAGGCCATGGTACCCTCAGCCTGGGTATCTCTGAGGACAATCTGTGTCTCCTCAGCCTGGGGCTCCCTAATGCCACATCTCCCTCAGATTGAGGATGTGTCTCCCCCAGATTGGGGTCCCCTGAGGATGGGCCATGTCCTCCCCAGAATGAGTCATATCTCCCTGGGGGCCCCCCAAGGACAGGCCATGTTACCCTCAGACTGGGAACCTCAGAGGACAATCTGTGTCCCTTACGGACGGATGCCCCTGCACGAAACATCTTCTGTGTGCATTTCAGATGTAGAACATTCTCTTGGGCTCCGGAGCGCGATGCTGGGTAAAGCCTTGTTCTCACATTCCCCCCCCTCCCCCCCCCCCGTCCCCCTCTCCAGAGTACTGGCTGTGGCAGTACTGCAGATGGCATCTCCTAATGCTCGTGGGTGTTTAAGCGCCCTGGGAGTAAAGTTTAGCCTCATTACAGCTTGTTTGAGAGAAGAGCCAATTAGAGAGGCAATTTTCCTTGAGCAGTCTGAAGAATGTGTTGATATGCTAGCCGGTCGGATGGGAAGCGGGTAACCTTCGTCATCTCTGCAGGCCTAATGGTGGCCCTGACTGCCCCCCACCACACACACACACCTCTGGGAGTCTCCTAGCCACTGGATTTGGGCTGATGGTAGGAGAGGAGCCTTGAGTCCCAGTCCTCCTGAGACCTCTGGTCTCCAGAGGTTACCCTGACCCATCTCTCTCCATTAACTTCACACGGGCTTCTTTCATCCTGGTGTGTTCCTTGCTGTGGGGAAACCTCATTGCTAATTACCTTCTTTGGGGCTAAATGTCTTTCTATTGAATTATTTGTGATGAAGGAAGATGGGAAGTGCCCTTAGGAAGAAGTCGGAGCCCCCTCCCCCACTTCCCTGTCCCATCCAGGAAGTTCTATGCCTTCTGTTGTGGGCAGATGGAGGGAAGACGCTGTTCCAAAGCTCAGTGTTGGCCAGGGTACTCTGAAAAGCAAATGAAAGGACCCTGACTGGAGCCACGAGGTAACACAGAAGGAAGGACTCCAGGTCTCTCAGAATCAAAGCGGGGGGGTGCGGGGGGGTGGGGGTGGGGGCTGGAGCCCAGAGCTCTGCACAAACCAGAAGTTGCTCACTCTTTCTCTGGCTTTTGAATTAGTGTGATCTCTAGGCCCCTCTTCCTCACAAGGCAGCCAGCCACCTCTCCTCTCTGCCTCTCCACTCACAGCCTTTCCACTCACAGGGAAGAATGCTGATTGGCCCAACTTTGGGCACCTGATCGTACCCCTGAGATAGGCCCCATGCCGGAATCTCTGGTGAGCCCATGCCAGGGAGAGGACAGCCTGGAAGGACGGCAGGGTGGCCATCCATCACGGGGACAGGTGCCTGCCATCCTGTCACACATCTTGAAACAGGCTCTAAAAAGTCCCTGTCGCCATCACCATGATTTATAGGCGAGGCAGCCAGGACTCAGAAAGCTGAAGAGCTTTGCCTAAATGAGAGAGCCAGGACTTGAACCTCAAAACTTTGGGCAAGCAACGGGAGTTGGGGAAAGGGGAAGGGCTGAGTCCATCTGATGCGATAAATCTTGGGCACGGGACATGGAACTCCCAAACCCAGGCAATCGGCACACAGGATCTGAAGCTGAGTGCGCAGAGCTCACAAGGCTGCTAGAGCCGAGTAGGGCCCCTCGGGACACGGTGTGGCTTAAATCTGAAGTGTCCCCCACGTGCTCTTGGTCCTCAGAGGGTGGCTCTGTTTGGTCCTCAGAAGGTGGAGCATGACTGGAGGAAGTGGATCACTGGGCATCATGGGCCTCTATTTCCTGTTTGCTCTCGGCTTGCTGATGGCGGCCAGTGTGACCGGCTACCTCACGCTTCTGCTGCCTTGATGGAGTGTATTCCTCCTCCAACCTGGGGCCAAAGTAAGTCTACCCATTTTTTTTTTTTTTTAGATTTATTTTATTTTGTGTGCATGAGTGCTTTGCCTGCATGTGTGTCTGTGCATAACATGCATGCCTGGTGCCTAAGGAAGTGGTAAGCCTCTATGTGGGTGCTGGGAATCGAACCTGGGTCCTTTGCAAGAACAACAAATGCTCTTCGCCAATGAGCAAACTCTCCAGCCCGATCCTGCCTTTCTTGAAGTTATGGTTAAAGCAGTGAATACAGCCGGCAGGCTTCCTAGAGGAAACAGCATCTGCAAACAGCTGGAATTGGGCTGGTGCACCACAAGGATAATTGGGAAGGGAAAGGTAGGCTTCCACAGCATCCTGACCAGTAACCACAGTGGGAGGTTGGGCAGCTAGGGCCAGAAAGGTGGACATGGAAACCATAAGCAGGGTTGGAGTTCACAGTACTGGCACAAGGATGCTGGGTAATATTATTTTAAGGTGTGTTACTTTTGTGTATGTTGCATTTATTTAACTCTGTGAAACTGTGTGACTGTGCCTGTCTAAAACACCTGATGGTCTAATAAAGAGCTGAATGGCCAATAGCAAGGCAGGAGAAAGGAGAGGTGGGGCTGGCAGGCAGAGAGAAGAAATAGGAGAAAGCTGGGAGGAAGAAGGAAAGTAGCCCAGAGAAGGAAGAGGACTTCAGGGGCCAGCCACCCAGCTACACAGCCAGACATGAAGTAAGAAGTGAAGAAAGGTATACAGAAATAGAGAGAGGTATAAGGCCAAAGGCAAAAGCTAGACAGGATAATTTAAGAAGAGATGGCTAGCAACAAGCCAAGCTAAGGGCCAGACATTTATAACTAAGAATAAGCCTCCATGTGTGATTTATTTGGGAGCTGGGTGGCAGGTCCCCCAAAAGAGAAAAAATAATCAATAGAACAAAGACACTGTGGATTTTTAAAAAGTTGATTTCTTTAATTTTTGCCAGTGTGTATGTGGAGCTGACAGGTGCAAGTACCTGCAGAAGCCAGAAGAGGGTGTTGGATCCCCTGGAACTGTGAGCTGCCTGATGTGGGTGCTGGGACCAGACCTCAGGTCCTCTGGAAGAGAAGCCAAGAGCTCCTAATAGCTCAGCCATCTCTTCATCACACCCCCTCCGCAACCTTGCAAGCTGTGGGTTTTTAATGGAGGTGTTGACAGGAGAGAGAACACTTCCAGAGGGTGAGTCTCAAATGCCTATTGAGCACAACACTCCACAGCCCAGACTAAAAGTAGGGGCAACGTAGTAGGGGGTCAGGCTTTCTGTTGCCCCATCCAAGGCAGAGCAGGGCTCACTACCTTAAGAGAGCAGCGTGGATTGCAGAAGTAGGCACACCATGGGTGCTCAGCAAAGAGTGCACCAGAAGCCTGTAGGGGACATTTCAAGTTCAAATCAGCACAAGGAGTAACATTTGATTTACCTGAGCACAAGCAATGTTAGTGTGGTCAGAACCCCTGTGGGTGTGGTGGTGTGTGAACATAGGTGTGTGTGCACATGGAGACCCAAGATTGATGGTAGAATCATCCTCAATAGCTCACTCATTCATTCACTCACAGAGATAGGGTCTCTCAATCAAACCCAGAGTTCATGGATATAGGTAGTCTTGCTGGCCAACTTGCTCTGGCACTCCCGTCTCCACCTTCCAAGGCTACCACACCCACCCAGAATTTTATGTGGGTTCTGGGGATTCGAACTCTGGTTCTCACACTTGCTTAGCAATCGTTTTAACCATTGAGCAATCTTCCCAGCCCTTTACCATTCTTTGAGAAGACAATTTTGAAGAATGAGCACCTACTCTGTACCACTGTCATAAAAAAAAAAAAAAAAAAAAAAAAAAACAATGTTGTCTGGGTCATCAGTGCACAGTATGGCTTTCTATATTTTTCGCAAATATGCAAAGGAAGAAGCCAAGACCCTGAGAATTAAGGGGACATGTCCAAGGTCACACAGCCAGAAAACGAGAGAACTTAGTTCTACTTATTTTCTAGACCCAATGTCTCCAACCCTCAAGCCCTGGGACCCTGCTGGGCATGGAGGGATCCCCAGGCAGAGGGTGGGGTGTGGGACTGTGCCTCTACCATTAGACTCACTGATAGGTGTTTCATCCTCCCTTTGCTTTTAGGGGGTCCTTGTTCAGGGTTCAAATCCTTCAGCTCTGCACTGGGTAACAGGGGAGAGAGGCCCTGCATAGGCTGCCTCGGGGGACCTGGGTTCACGCCAGGCACCAGTAGCTTCCTGGGCATCTCTCAGAGACTCCACAGCAGCGGACAGCCTGCTAATTAGGACATGCTCTTTATGACTTTGTATTCCGAGATGTCATTTACTAGACTCGGGGTTGGGGGGGTGGGAGTGGAGAAGACATACACAGTTGTTTTTAATTACATTTGGTTTGCTAATTTCTGATAGAAAATAAATATTTACCGAGAGCCATATTTCTTCATTTCACGCCGGCTGACTCTCAGAGTTTATCGGGTGCCCAAACAGGCACGCCCGCTCACCTCCCCCCTCGAGTACCCACCCCCTTGCTAGAGTCACACTCTAGAGCCTGGAGAAGTGGGTAGGGAGGGGGAGAGAGGGGGGAAATGGAAAAGGTGGAGATGGGTCAAGTTCAAGTGTGGACAGTACCATGAGTCTGAGGACGTGGAGAGAAGCCTCCTTCCCAGTCTCTTGTGTGGTGGCCCTAGCAGAGAGGTTGGAAGGCAAGGTGGCCTTAGCCCTGACGTGTCTTCCTGGGTCTGTCCACACAATGGGCCCCCTCTAAGGATGTGCAGTCTTCCATGTGCTAGGATGCACTCACTCTGGTGGTCCTTCTGAGGACCAGGCTCCATGATGGGTGGACAGAGCTTAGAAGGTGGTTTTGTCAACTTTCTCCAAATGACCCTTGCAAGGCAATAAGGGTGGGAAGAGAAAGCACAGGGGGAGAGGGGAGGTCTGGGGGAGGGGAGCACCTTGCTGAGGGGGGTCTAGGATGTGGCTAAAGGACAGAACAGACACTTCTGTGTGGTTATGTGTTCAAGGCACATGTGTATGCGGCTAAGTCACACGTGGGCTTGTAGATGTGAAGGCTGCCCCGGTCAATTCTTCCAGAACCACTCACCTTGTATTTTGTTTTTAAATTGTGTGAGTGAGTGCTTATGTACACTACAGAGTCCAGAAGAGGCCATTGGATCCGCTGGAGAAGGAGTTACAGGCTGTGTGAGCCACCTTGTAGGTGCTGGGAACTGAACTTGGGTCCCCAGCGAGAGCGGCAAAGCGATGCCTATCCCTTCTCCTGAGGTCCCAATGACAGACTCCACCAAAGTTCACCCTGGAGAACCAGTGAATTGATTGGGCTTCCTTGCAAAACCTAGATGAGGGGTTAGTTACAGGGATGTGGACACCCCCTCCTAACTGGCTGCACCTGGAGAGCCTACCCATCAGACGAGGGCTTTCTTGAAACTGCATAAATGGAGTTCTGTCCTGGGGCTTCTGTCTGAGCTATCCCGCCTTCAGGGCCACTTGCCAGGTAGTGAGGAGCAGCTGGGTACTTATGGGGGTGGGGAGGGTTAGGAGGTGTGGGAGGTGAAGGGTGGGGGTGGGGGGAGTGTAAACCGCCACCCAGCCGGGCTGAGATGATCTTTTGCAAGGAGGCCCCAAAGAGCTCCTCAAGCTGTTGGTTTCTTGGCTCGGAGGACAGCACTCAGAACACAGCCCTTAACCTGCTGAATGCTGCTCTCTCCAGGTTCCCACCTCATGTTCTGAGACAGGATCTCTCACTGGAACCTAGGGCTTGGTCCCAGGGATCCTGTCACCACGTCCCCAGCACTGGGGCTACAACCAAGCGTCACTATACCTGGCTTTTTATGTGGCTTCTGGGGCTTGAACTCAAGTCCTCATGCAATTTACCAACTGAAGCAACACCCCACCCCGCCCCCCACGACGCCCCCCACGCCGCCCCCACAGTCCTACACTCTTTCCTCTACCGAGCATTGTGGTCTTGGGGCTGATGCCTTCCTGGTGCTGTACAGAGGGACTAGGCCCCCCCATAACTAGCCGAGGGAGAGCAGGCTCTAAATCTCAGCAGGACTTATCCAGACTGTCCTGGTACATGCGCTGTCTGGTGGCACCCTGGCATCTTCACCCCCCGTCATGATAGCCAAAGTTGCCCGTGGACGGAGTCAGATGTCAGAAGCCCTTGTGTGCCTAGGGGGCCCTCACTGAGAAGCACTGTTTGAATAGCCAGGGAGGGAGGGCAAGGGAGGAGCCTCGGGGAGACTGGGAAGAGCCTGGCAGCTGAGAGCGGTCTCAATGGTGCCCGCAAAGGGATGGGGACAGAGATAAGGAGAGCTGAGGGCAGTAGAGTAGAGAGAGAGTAGAGGTCCCTGCCCCCAGCCTGATTTCCAAATCCATGGTAAGCCAAGGCTGGTTTTTTTTTTTTTCCAATTACATTTCAATTTAGCTCAATTACTTTTCCATTATTGTTCAAGCGACTCGGTTTTAATTGAAGCTGGTGGTTCTTATCTTCCTCACCCCCCCCCCACTACATACAAGGGAGGAAGGGGAGGAAGGGGAAGAGGAGAGTCTGGAGGGAGGCCTAGGAGCTGTGGTCCCCTTAGGTGAAAGGTCAAGGCTCACCTGGAGCCTGAGTGGCCAAAATAAATCTGCACGGTGACAGAGAGAGACGCGAAGAAGCAAAGTTTGTTGGCCAGCTCTGACCAGTACAGTGGGCCAGTCCCAGGCCTGGTTTCAATCCCCGTGGTTAAGAACTGTGGTCTAAACATATTCACCTGGACTCCTTCAGGACGGAGCCGCTGGGCTCCAGGACTTTTATTGTGATGTGTCGTTACAATTGTTTTATTTACGATGGCACATCCCTTCTGTACCTCCTTTATAAACCCAACTTTATGGTAGTGAGCATGCGCATGTGGGGATACCTGTCCCGGCTTTCAGGGGCCTGAAATGGATTCTGGATGATCCCGGGAGACTTTGGGACCAGACATGGTTACAGCCAAGATTCATTTAATCCTTAGCACAAGCCCACGTGGTGCTTTACAGAGGCGAAAACTGGAGCCCAGAGAAGTGAAGGGATTGGTCCTGAGTCTTACAAAGGAGAAATTGCGGAGGTGGGGGGTATCTCAGCCGTGTGGGTCTGAAGCCTGGGTACTACCCCAGAGCCTTGTATTACACACACAATATCACATCAACTTGCCTTTCCAAACAAACCCCAGCTCCCTGACGCTCCTCCACTTCCAGAGTCTGTTCCTATTAGCCCTCCTCCTCCTCCTCCTCCTCCTCCTCCTCCCCCCCTTCTCCCCCTCCAGCTTTGGGGTTGGACGGATCTGAATGAAAAGACCTGCAAACTGCAATTCAAGCTCTGAGAGTCTCCATGTCCTTCTTAACTAGATGTGAACAACGTCTCCTTCCTGGGGATGGGGCTCCGTGGACAGAACCAATGAGATGAAGGATATTGGGAACCTTCCCCTGCATCGTGTTGGCCCCAGCACCCAGCCACAGCAGAGTTAACCTCCCCGCTTATCACATCAAACCAACGAGTCCAGAGACATGCTCACACCGCAGGGAGGAGAGGCAGAGCCTGACTCTGGGGTCCACGTCTCTCTGAGTCACTTTTCTTTCTTTCTTTTTTTTTTTTTTGGTTTTTCGAGACAGGGTTTCTCTGTGTAGCTTTGCGCCTTTCCTGGAACTCGCTTTGGAGACCAGGCTGGCCTCGAACTCACAGAGATCCACCTGCCTCTGCCTCCCGAGTGCTGGGATTAAAGGCGTGCGCCACCACCGCCCGGCCCTGAGTCACTTTTCTATCGCTGTGACAGGCCACCACGGCAAAGGCAACTTATGGATGACTTGATTGGGGGCTCACAGTTTCAGAAGGTGAGTCCGTGATCATTACAGCAGAGAGCATGGCGGCAGGCAGGCAGACAGGCACGGTGCTGGGGCAGTAGCTGGGAACTTACAGCCGTATCCAAAAATAGGAGGCAGAGAAGCTAACCCGAACTGACAGGGGATTTTGAAACCCACGCCCAGTGTGACAGGCCTTCTCCAACAAGATCACACCTCCTAATCCTTCCCATACAGTTTCACCAGCTGGGGGGACCAAGCATTCAAATTCATGAGCCTACTGGGGGGGGGGGCATTCTCATTTGAACCAGCATACCTCCTAACCCTAAATGCCCCCAGGCCTGCAACAAAGGAAGTAAGGGGGGGGGGGACATGTAAGTGACTGTCAACTTTGTGAGCCCTTGGGGTAAGCATATACCTATTGCTTCCTCTTTCCACCCATGCCTTGTTCTGCCCAATGGAGCTGGAGAGGACCCTGTGACCCTGAGGTGAGTGAGTGGTTAGCAAGCCTCTGGCCCTGTGGCTATGAGGCATACACGTGTTTCTCAAATGAAAGATGCTGTCTACTAGAAATAATGAAATATTAAGCCAAAAGGGGGCTTTAAATGTTTTTTTTTTCAAGTAGCAAAGCCTGGAGGTGGGTGGAAATGGTGGTTTGAATGAGAATGGACCCTATAAGATTGCTTATTGCTTTTATAGAGGACCTGGGTTCAATTCCCAGCACCCACATGGCAGCTAACTATCACTGGTAAGTTCTAGGCTGTATAGTAGGTTTAAGGCTTGCTGGGATACCTAAGACGTGTCTGAAAAGAAACAGTCAGGTGCGGTGGCACACACCTTCAATCCTAGCAGTTGGGAGGCAGAGACAGGTTAAACTCTGTGGATTCAAGGCCAACCTAGACTACATATCATGTTTCTATTGGCTATGTACTGATACACTGTCTCTATCAAACAATCAATCAGTCAATCAATCAATGCCTAATTACCAAAATGCATGTAGAAAATAAATGAGCAGCCCAACCCTGTATCTCTTAAGTAAATTAAAATTATTTTAAAAACTGAAATACCTCGGCAGTATGGTTTCTCAGGTGACTCTTATCAAACATTAAAAGAGTATATTTATTCTACCATCTCTTCCTAAAAAGAGGAGAGATGGGAATACATCGCAACTAATCTGAGATTGCCTCTATTGGGGTTTTTTTGTTTTTGTTTTTTGTGTTTTTGTTGTTGTTGTTGTTTTTGCCACAGGGTTTCTCTGTGTCATTTTTGTGCCTGTCCTGGATCTCACTCTGTAGCCCAGACTGGCCTCAAACTCACAGAGTCCTGGCTCTGCCTCCCGAGTCCTGGGATTAAAGGCGTGCGCCACCGCCACCCAGCTCGCCTCTATTTTTAAACAGGAGCAAGATAGGAGAAGAAACCTGCAGAATGCCATTTCTCAGGAATCTAACAACTAAAATATTATGCAAAATACTAGGC